TCCTTCCAAACCCTCTTCTTCCCTTTAACTTAGGACATTCTCTCTTCCAATGCCCCGTTTCCTTACAGTAAAAACAGTGTTCCTTATCCGGGGTCCTGGCGTGGCCCCCTCCCTGGGTTGGTCCCGGACACCCGCTAGGAAAATACGAGCCATTTCTCTCTGTTGCTTTCGGTTTTCCTTAGCCTGGAACTCCCGGTCCTCCTTTCTCAATTTCTCCTGGGCTCCCTGTCTTCCTTTCTCTGTCTTTCCTCCCTTTCTTCTGGAGTTTCCCTAGCGGTAAAGACCTTTTCTGCTACCTGTAGCATTTCCCTTATAGTCATCTCCCCTAAGTTTTCCTGTTTATTGAGTTTTCTCCTAATGTCTGGGCTGCCTGATTAATGAATGAGAGTACCACAGCAGACCGGTGGAGGTCCGCCTCAGGGTCAATAGGGGTGTACTGACGGTATGCCTCATAGAGGCGCTCTAAGAAACCGGCTGGGCTTTCGTTTTCCCTTGAACGACTGCTTTTACTTTTGCAAAATTGGTGGGCCTTCTAGCGGCCGCTCGGAGACCGGCCATAAGAGTCTGGCGGTAGATCCGAAGACGCTCCCTACCTTCTGCGGTCCCGAAATCCCAATCAGGGCGGCGTAGGGGAAAAGCCTCGTCTATGGCCGGTTGGAGAGTTGTGGGTCTCCCATTATCCCCCAAGACGTTCTTCCTCGCTTCGTTGAGGATGCGCTCTCGTTCCTCCGTCGTAAAAAGAGTATTGAGCAGCTGATGACAGTCATCCCAAGTGGGACGGTGTGTATGCATGATGGACTCCAGGAGATCTATGAGACACTTGGGGTCTTCAGAAAAGGGCGGGTTCTGCGTCCTCCAGTTATATAGATCACTGGAGGAGAAGGGCCAGTACTGAAACTGTTGCCCTCCTCCCGGTCCCCCTTGGCCCACCATCCGGACTGGAAGTGTAGGGACAGTTTCCTCCCCCTGTGTTGATGAGGGGGGCCCGTCTTCCCCCTCCCTTTCCCGGATCCCTCGGGGGCGAAGTCTTCGACCCATTCCTCCTCCTGCTGCCAGTCCTGTTGAGGAGGATGAGGAAATTTCCTCCTCCGGGGCACTGGCTTGGCCAGGGGGAGTCACGTATGGAGGCGGCCGATCTTCCTCTGCCCCTGCGAGGGATGGGTAAAGGGGGGAACTCTCTGGTAAGACCGGAGATGGTGAAGGAGATGCCCTAATTTGAGGACCGGTCAAGGTGGGAAGAGGAAGTTTTTCCTCCTCCTTTATGACCAAGGCGGGCGTGACTGGGGTTTTAGCCCCGGGGGCCGAACTGGAGGGGTGGGTCAGAAAAACTGTTAACCAAGGGGGAGGGTTCCTCACCAGATCCTCCCAAACCAAAATGTAAGGAACTTGGTCTGGATGGCCTCGATTGTCTGGCTGAAAAATGACTGCTTTAACCTTAGTGATCAGGTCTAGGGAGAGGGAACCTTGAATGGGCCACCCGACTCCAAAGGTGGGCCACTCTGCAGAACAAAAGGTGTCGAACTTACCTTTCTTGATGACCAGACCCGCATTTAAGGCCCTTTCTTTAACTTCTGGAAAGTGAGAAAGGATCAGAGACTTTGGGGTTGTTTGTCCCTGTCCCATTGTGGAAGGAGACTCAAACACCAAGAGAGATAGAACAAAAAGGGTAAAGGCAACAATAATTCCACACACACACAACACTCTCCAGCACTCGCTCGGACCGGTCCTTCTCTCACACTGGTGCGCACCCCATTCAACCTCCTCACCGTCCAACTGGGATATCAGGCCGAAAGGCGTCCACTTGACGGGTGGTCGGTCGACTAGCTCAATTAGTTCTTCACCTGGCGCCAGGGTTCCTAAAATGCTCGAGCCCAAATGAGAGGAAAGCCTCTCCCAATAGGACCCTGTGGTCCTCCTTGCGAGATTCCCAGAATGAATCTCCCTGGGGATTGGCCGAATCCCCGCCGCGGCCCAAATGGAACACTCAAGTTCCTCCAAATGAGGGTCTGGGATCCCCTCCCAACGCCTAGGACTTGGGATCGCCCCTGCTTTCTCGCAGGCAGGTTCTGTCTCTCGAGAAAATGAAATCTCGGTGGGACCTCCAAATGTTAGGACCCGGAATCCTATTCCCCCGAGAGACAGAGAGCCAGGCGTGAATGCAATCAACAAAGCAGAGTTTATTGGACTGGCTAGCCAGGGTCGAGCTCCCACACGGACACGCAGGACCGGTTAGGAAAGCAAGACCCTGAGCCTCTTAGGGGGGAAATCTTATATAGACTGCAGTGGCGTGCATATTTTTTGTTATCAACATTAGACAAGCAGGCAGAGCACATCCTGCACGTACTTCACATCTTGCTCGAACCTCACATCTTGCTCGTATCTCACATCTTGCTCGTATCTCACATCTTGCATTCCTCACATTCTATATGCCCTAACTGAGCCCTGCCTCATTGCCTATCTTATCTACATGGGATGTTTGGTACTGGTTTCTCCAACAAGGGGGTTGGGGCCCGCTGAGACCTCATATTCCTTTCAATAGTATGGAGTACTATGGCTCCATCACAGCCCCCTACTTGGTCCCTGCCCTCTACTTGGTGACTCTCTGTCTGGGTTTCTCCTCCAACTTGGCTCTCTCAAGATGGGTCTGTGCCTGCGATCCAAGAAGCTTCTTCCTTTGAAATCTAGCTGGTAGCCATGCCCTCTTTACCCCTATGCTCTGGACCTGCAAAGGCAGTGGCAGCCTTAATGCTTTCCGAATTGCCTCCAGCTTCGTTCTTCCAATGTCCTGAGAATAACAGCAATGGCTGAGATGTCTAATTCGTGATGATCGCCTTACAGGATAGTCACATGAGCACTTCATAGTTTTTTAATATTTCTCAATATAGATAAGCTGATTGATAATTTTCCAAATCTTTAAGCTCTGCTTCCTTTTTCATTCAACAATTTACCTTTAAGTTATGTTTTTCTTCCTTCATTTTACTATAAGCAGTCAAGTGGTGTCAATACACATCTTCTTTACTTAGAACTATCTTCTGTAAATAGTTTCATCACTTCCAAGTTCTACTTTCACAAAACTCTAGAACACAAGCATCATTTAGCCAATTTATTTGCCACTTTATATGAAGAATCAACTTCTCCATTATCTGATGACATTTTTCTCACTTTTGTCTGGAGCGTCTTCAGTATGTTCTTCACCTTCCATATTTCTATCAGCATTGTATTAACAACTACTTTCTCTACTGTCTTCCTCTATTCCTTTGATGTCTTCACCAGAACCATGTTGAAAAGTCTGTTCACAGCAGTGTGTACTTTTTCTTGCATACACCTCAACACTTCTCAGTCTTTATCCATACATGTATTTTCAAAGTGATTTTCAGAATTTTACATATTTGTTATAGCAACATCCCATTCTTAGCACCATATTGTGTCTTAACCTGTTCTGGCTGCATGATGTTTAATTTTATGTGCCATTTTTCTGGGATAAGGAAAGCTTTGATAGCTAGCAAAACATTATTTCTGAGTATGTTTGTTAGGTGTGTCTTTCTGGGAGTGTCTGTGGAGGTGCCTCCAGAAAAATAGCATGCAAATCTGTACACTTAGTAAAAAAAAATCTATCCTACTAATGTGAGCTTGTGTTATCCAATTTATTGATGGTCTGAATATAACAAGAGGAAGGACACACTTGTCTTGAGCCTGCCGTGGACATGGTGCTCTTAGTTCTCAAGCCTTCAGATGCAGATTGGGGATTGTAACATCAGCTCCCCTGGTTTTGAAGCCTCCAGACTCAGACTGGGTTATACCAATAGTTTGCCAGTTAAGGATGACAGGTAGTTGGGATTACTCAATATCCATAATCGTGTGAACCAGTTTCCAACAATAAATCTATTTTGTATATGCATAACTAATTTTTTTGGTAGGCTGGGATTTGAACCCAGGTCCTCACACATACCAGGCAAATGCTCTTCTACTTGAGTGATGACCCAGCCCTTTTATTTGTATTTTGCTTTTTTGAGATAGGGTCTTGGTAACTTTACCTGGGCTGGCCTTGATCTCTTGATCCTCTAGCCCCCTCCCATGTATCTAGCACTATGGGGCATGCACCACCCTGCCCAGCTGAGACCCACCTCTTAATACCATTGCCTCAAGGGAAGGTTTCAACATATGAAATTGGGGTGGTATGAACATTCAGATCCTCATCATACTTTGTTGTCTGTAGCTTGAAAAAGACTGGGAGAATTAAAATTTTTGATATGCTTTCAAAGAGGACTACACTGTCTTTACTTATGACAATAACAGTAATCAGAGGATTAAATGAAAAATTGTGTTTGGTACAGAGCTTAGAGTAGATAAATGCTGAAAACTGTTATCTATCCCCAATATTATTTTATAGTTTTAACAACTGATAATGTTCATTGGTAATTATACTTGTAGCAAGATTTTAAAGGAATATATAACACCTGTAACCATGGCCATTTTTGTAAAAAGCCTTCATTATTTTTTGAAATATTGGATTATTATCCTACTTTAAGATTTATTTGATGCATATACTGTGTTTCTTGAATTTTCCAGTGGAATATGTATGTGTGTGCGTGTGTGTGTGTGTGTGTGTGTGCTTATCAAGTATTCTGTAAGTAGTAATTGCGCAACATATGTTTCTTTACAAACTGCCTAGCAACACACACAATAGGGCTGTTGGATTAGATAGAAATTGTAAATAGTAAGTATTTTATTTCATAGAGTTGTCCTTTGTGCATGTTCTAACTATTTCTGGACTATCTAAATGACAGATTGTGCAGTGCAATTTGTTCTAAGGAAGTTAGGCAATATTTTATGACTGGACTTATTTGTAGATTGACTATGAACTGCAGTTTGAACAGTGGACTTGTTTTCATGAAGTCAGTGTATGGCTAAATTTTAACAGAGATTCAAACTTAGCAAGTGAATGTTTGGAAATGATTATATTTGCTGTGAGGCCCAAGTACAAAGAGTAAAAGGGAGACATGGGAAGAAAGACAACTTTGTTTCTGATTGCAGGGGTCCTTGGGGCATATTCTGTTTATACACCTCTGCCAGATAATATTGAGGAACCTTGGAAACTAACATGGAGTACCACACAAATGAAAATGACAATGAACATGGTAAGCTCAGAATTTTATCAACTTTATGAATATTGACTAGTTCAATCAAGAGGAAATTGTGGATGGGAGCTTGTCTGGATTCCCAAGCAAGAGAGAAATTGTCTCCCAGCCTGGAGAGAAATTGAGAGAGAGAGAGAGAGTTATTAAATGCTGCCAGATATGAACTTCAGAAAAGGTAGGATGAAGCAGCACTGTGATTAATTATAGAATTTTATGCAATAATCTTTGATTCATACATGGAAGTTCATATTTCTTAAAACATTTTTAAAAAGACAGGTCAACTGGTAAATGACCAAGGAAACTGGTCACTCAGAATTCCACTCACAGGAAGGTGAGCTGCTGAGGTGACAGGGCTGTGTTTCTTTTTTGTTTTTCTATCATACATAATCTTTGAGTTTCATTTGGTCTTTATTGATATAATTATTTTATCTTTTTTTCTTATTCCTTTCTGAATTCTTCCAGTACAAGAACTAATAACAATGTTCTCACTCCCTTCTTTCTGACCACCAACCATCTCCAACTTCCTGCCTAGTTAGTTCTTCAGTGTGTGCATTTCTGCTTTCTGATAATTCTTTTATGCTATTTTAAAAATTAATTTTGAAATATTGTATATTTCATCATTATAGAAACTTTTTTCTAGCTTGTTTTCTTTCATGTGTTGGAAACTGTTACTATTTTGCTTATAGTACATAGCACCTTACATGAATGCTATACATACAACTCTTATTAATGCAATGAATTTTCTTAGACAAACCATTCAAAGTATGTATTGTGGAACAAAAATAGGGCCAAGATTTTCTTTCTCAGACTTAATATTCAAGAATTCTTAAATACCTAGGAGTAAACTTAACAAAAGATGTGAATGACCTCTACAAGGAGAATTGCAAACCCCTGAAGAAAGAGATCGAGGAAGACTACAGAAGATGGAAAGATCTCCCATGCTCATGGATTGGAAGAATCAACATAGTAAAAATGGCTATACTACCAAAAGCAATCTACATGTTTAATGTAATTCCCATCAAAAATCCCAATGACTTTCATCACAGAGATTGAAAAATCTACCCTTAAGTTCATTTGGAAACACAAGAGACCACGAATAGCCAAGGCAATACTCAGCAAAAAGAGCAATGCAGGGGTATCACAATACCCGACTTCAAACTATATTACAAAGCAATAGCAATAAAAACAGCATGGTACTGGCACAAAAACAGACATGAAGACCAGTGGAACAGAATAGAGGACCCAGATATGAATCCACACAACTATACCCATCTTATTTTTGGCAAAGGGACCAAAATTATACGATAGAGAGAAGATAGCCTCTTCAACAAATGCTGCTGGGGAAAGTGGTTATCCATTTGCAAGAAACTGAAACTAAATCCATGTCTATCACCCTGTACTAGTATCAACTCAGAATGGATCAGGGACCTTTAATATCAGACCTGAAACTCTGAAGTTAGTACAGGAAGGAGCAGGAAACAATCTGGAACTAATAGGTATAGGCAAGGACTTCCTCAATAGACTGCCAGCAGCCCAGCAACTAAAGAGAAAGAATGGACAAATGGGACTTCATAAAATTAAAAAGCTTCTGCACAACAAAAGAAATGGTCTCTAAACTGAAGCAATCACCCACAGAGTGGGAGAAAATATTTGCTAGCTATACATCAGACAAAGGACTGATAGCCAGAATATACAGGGAACTTAAAAAACTAAACTCTCCCAAAAATCAATGAACCAATTAAGAAATGGGCAACTGAACTAAATAGAACTTTCTCAAAAGTAGAAATCAAATGGCCAAAAAACACATGAAAAAATGATCACCATCTCTGGCCATAAAGGAAATGCAAATCAAAACCACACTAAGATTCCATCTCACCCCTGTTAGAATAGCCATCATCAAAAACACCAACAACAACATGTGCTGGTGAGGATATGGGGAAAAAGGAGCCCTCATACACTGCTGGTGGGAATGCAAGCTGGTGCAACCACTCTGGAAAGAAATTTGGAGACTTCTTAAAGATCTAAACATAGACCTGCCATATGATTCAGCAATCCCTCTGCTGGGGATATTCCCAAAGGAATGCGACACAGGTTACTCTAAAAGCACCTGCACACCCATGTTTATTGCAGCGCTATTCACAATAGCCAAGTTATGGAAACAACCAAGATGCCCCACTACTAATGAATGGATCAAGAAAATGTGGTATTTATACATAAAAGAATTTTATTCAGCCATGAAGAAAAATGAAATCTTATCATTTGCAAGTAAATGGATGGAACTGGAGAACATCATTCTGAGTAAGGTTAGGCAGACTCAGAAGACCAAAAAATTGTATGCTCTCCCTCATATGCGGTCTTTAGATCTAAGGCAAGTACAGCAATGTTGTAGGACTTGGGTTACATGACAAGGGCAGAACATATACGGGAGGCACAGGGTTAGATAGAAAACCTAAAGCATGAAAGCATTTGATGTCCCCACTCCAGAGGAATTAATACAAAACCTTAAAGCGACAGAAGTCAAAATGAGAAGGGGATCAAGGAACCAGTGTAAAGATCAGTTAGAGATGAATCAACCTGGGTTGTAACACATTTGTACATGAAAGCAATGCTAGGAATCTCTCTGTATAGCTGTCCTTATCTCAACTAGCAAAAATTTTATGTCTTTCTTATTATTGCTTATTTCTACTCTTCGACAGAACTGGAGAAAAGTGCAGAACAGGTTCTGCCTGGAAGGGAGGGGGGAGGTGGGGAGAGGGTGGGGCGGGGGCAGGAGGGAGAAATGACCCAAACAATGTATGCACATGTGAATAAATGAGTTAAAAAAAGAATTCTTATTGCTACAGTTTGTATGTGTATAAATGTATATAATATTTAAAATATGAAATATATACACAATTTGTATATATTGCAAAATTATGTTGATACACACACAAAACACACATGTACACACTGTCCTGTATATTTGAATCACATGGTCTGTTGCTGTTGTAGTTAAAGGGTATAGCTGCTTTTTCCCAGTGACAGCCTCCATCAGAAGTTGTCCTGAGATCACTTATCTCTCAATCTTCCTAGATAATTCGAGTGTTTTTAATCTATCCCAATAACCCACATTATATTTCATCCTTGATCATGGTTGTCATTACACATAGCACAGGATTTCCGTTGTTAGAGCATGACTCCTTGTGTTTTTCTAGAATCTACCTCCTTTGGGGCTCCCTCTCTCTCAGCCTGTCTTTCTACTACCCTCCTACCACAGTATTATGTGTGGTTCTTCTGATCTCATTTTCTTTGTTCCAATACTTCATATAACTTGTAGTTCATAGTCTTCTCTGTGACTCTTGAAAGAAAGAGTTTATTATTGTGGTGATTGTTTTTGTTACTTAGTTTCCTGCAAAAGAGAAATGCTTTCCTCACTCCTTTTTAAAAGAATGTTAGAGAGTGAAAATATTGAAGAGAGATTGTTCTAAGAAGTGGGGGAGGGAGGATGAGGGAGACTGATGAAGGGGGTAAATCTAAAATATATTGTAAGCACATATACAAATGTCACAATATATCCTTCCTGTATAACTATTATATGCTAATAAAAAATAAGTAAATCTAATTAATTTGCCAAAGTACATCACATTAGCATATAATCTCTATGATCCATCATTCATTGATGAAGTAGCCATTTTTTAAATCCTCCTCTCACCCCTAAATTTAACAAGAACCCCCCCCCCAAGAACTTGCTTGACCTTATTGCATCTGGTTCTACCTGTGCGTTCACAATCTTATAAGCATTTGATAAAGAATAGTAATTCAAACCTCTACTATTCAGTGGTCAAAGTTGTTGACTGAAATCAACTTTCAACTAATCTATTATGCATGAAACGTTAGTTTCTAGAATGGGGACATGAAATACATTTCAGTAGAAAGCCAATTCTGACCTGTTTCTCAGCTTTATCTTGAAAAGACTGTGATTGCATCAGGCTTGGTAAGAGACAATATCAGACAGCCTTGTCAGACCCATCATAGACAAGGTTATTGGCACTTGTGGAAAGAGGTGTTACCTGATCAGAAGGTTTTCAGTTGCCTTGGGACAGTATGAATGTTCGTTTATAGATAGTATTTTGCAAAAAAAAAAATTAGCCTTATTTCTGTCTCCTTTTTCTACCTTTGCCATTAATTATTCCAAAAAATTTTACCAGTTTTTTTTGTTGTTTAAAAGTAATTACTTATGTGCAGAAATTTTTAAAAAGCTGGCAATAGTAATGCCATAATATGAGCCTTAAGGACAATCACAGTCATTAAGGTCCCTGAATATGGCTAAAAAAATTTTAATGATGGGAATGTTTCATAAAATGTTTGATTTTAATTATTAAAGTTAAGAACTTAAGTGAAACTTCAAAATGTTAATCAGAAATCTATGTAACCTTTTGTTCAAGGACTATGGCAAAGAGTCTCAGGCCAAGGATGTCATGGAAGAGTACTTCAAATGCAAGAAATGAGCAAATAAAATTTGACTTTAAAAAAGGAATTATTTAGTTTAAGTGAAAAGAAACACAGCAAATTATATAATCTATTAGATGCCACACATTGCAAAATTCTGAAAAATTTAGTAGCATTAATTTTAATTTTTCTAAAATTTTTTCTGCATTTTTGTTTATATTGATGTTTTCTCCTTATCATGACAATGGTTTTATATTATTTTCAATGGAAAGAATAAAAAATTAATTCAGTCTTTCCTCTAGCTTAAGTGAGTGATATTTTTCCTTCATGGAAATCACCTTCACAAGTCGTTATTAATCATACCATGTACATTTTTAGAATTGTTATTAGACTTGGGAAAGCCTCTATTTATTTTCTTTCATGTTTGGACTATAATATTTCAGTATTTCTTGTGTAGTGACTAGTTTTAAACTATTCTGGAATCAATTATACTTGTTAAGTCAGTTTGCTGCCAGTGGTCTGTTGCAGTTTTGTGAGTTCTATATCATTTTTTCAATGTGAGAATTTTGCTC